AGGATCGGCTGAACAGTGGTCATTATTCAGTATTATGAATTCATTATTTGCTTGAGTTTAGGGAGATTTAATGAGTAACCATTGTAACTGTGTTCTTAAGTGAGAGGAGTCATGGTAGGGTAGGAAAAATAACATAGTAAAAGTAATTAAACTAATTTAGATTGTGGCATCTGGACTACAAAAGGCAAGGATTTGGAGGGCTTTTAGAAATAGAAGTTTTGTTAATAGAAGATTAAAAAAATGACTGGTTGCATTTGGGGCGTTGAGTCATACCTTTAAAACTTCATAATTAACTTCCCCAAACAATAGAAAATACTCATTTTCTGCAGGGAACTGTCCAGAAGAACTTTTTCATGCTCCAGGGTCCCACTTGATCCATGTAAATGCCTGTCATGGTATACTGTTCAGTATCGATGTATTGCAAGACTAAGCTGCAGAATAGCATGAGAATACAATTTCTCTGTGGTTTGGGATCTTTTTGTCAGGTTTCAGGGCAAAACAATAGAGCTCTCAAAGACAGGTGCGGAAGTAGAGGGTCAGCTCCCATGAAAACGTTCACAGCTTCAGGCATTTATTTTTAAATGGGTAGCTTCTTTAACTCTAAAACTTTACAGATTCAGAAGATTGAACTAACAGGGTTTTATCTTTTTCCAGTGTTCTCTTTCTCCTTGTGTTAATTGCCACAGGTTCTTAGTCTCTTTCTGCAGCTCTTTCTACTACCGTTTTCCAAAAACTGTCCACTGTTTTGTCTTCTCCTTCATTCCTATGTTTCCACTACCCTGGGCAAGACTCACACTGCCTGCTTTTGCTCCTTAGAGCTGAATGAGAATTTGAGTGTCTGGGTGCGTGACAGTAACTCTTTCTCCAGTGGCTGCCGAGCCATCGAAGGAGCCGAAATATGCCCACATGTTGAACCTGAGAGTTTCTTAGACACTTAAGCTCAAGTGCTCACACAGAGGCAGAAGTGTCTGAGGGAAAATGGTTGAGTATTTGACTTCAACTCTACTGCAATCCAGCCATGAAGAGAATATAGGTATATAGAGAGATATTTATAAGCACTGGGGCTAGTTTCTTCCAATTAACAAACTAGTTTTGTCCACCTCCTCACTCACCGCTTTCTGAGTTCCCCTGCTGAGGTCTAGCTTCTCTCTGTTGATTGTACTGAGAATTTCAGCTATGAGTGCTCAAGCTCATCAGCCAAAGCTGGTGTGTGATACCTGATGCCAGCTTCCCATCCTCTAGCAATTCTGCTCCTGCTGGTCCTTTCTCCATCCTTTGAGCTCCTGGATCTTCTGGGTTTTACAAACTCAGTGGTCAGTCTTCATGTCTGGCACATAACCAAACAAAAGGTTGAGAGTTAGTATAGTATTGCCTATGAAGAAATTTGTTTTCTAGCACCTGTCCATCCACAGATAATGTAGGTGTTTAACAGAACAGTAATATTATTCTTCTTCCCCTAAAAATTAGGTCTGCGTAAAATGTTGTTGATTAATCTTAATGAAAAATCATATCTTTCACAGTTTTCTTTACAGTGGCTTTTATAAGGTACATATGAGTGAATGTTTCCTTCTTATGCTATATGCATATATTTAATTGAAAATAATGAAAGGTCTTCTTAGGTTGAGCTTGTAAGAGTGATTTTCCTTCAGTGGTGTAAATAGTTTGCGAGGAATGTGGTTAGTCCTGTCTCCTTCATATAGCTGAGGCTGGGTAAGCAGGACTCATTGAGGAGGAAGGCTGGAAGCAACACCTGGGAACTCCATCTGACTGACCTGCACTCACGTCCTTCCATCAGCTGACTTTCGTTTCTTACCCGAAGTAATACTGTTTTAATAGACAAACTATTTCTGGTATTTCTCTTTCACCAACCATCCCTTCCTGCACTGGGTTCTCCATTTGTCTTCTACCAAGGGAAAGAAGATCTGGGATTTCCTGTACCAAAGAGGCAGTTGCAGGGGAAGGATCTCATGAATATCTTTAATATCTTTAATATCTTTATCAATGATCTTGACGAGGGGGTCAAGTGCACCCTTAGTAAGTTTGCAGACGACACCAAGTTAGGCAGGAGTGTTGATCTGCTTGGGCGTAGGAAGACTTTACAGAGGCATATGGACAGGCTGGATCGATGGGCTGAGGCCAATTGTATGAAGTTCGACAAGGCCAAGTGCCGGGTCCTGCACTTGGGTCACAACAACCCCACACAACGCTACAGGCTTGGGGAAGAGTGGCTGGAAAGCTGCCTGTCAGAAAAGGTCCTGGGGGTGTTGGTCAACAGCCGGCTGAATATGAGCCGGCAGTGTGTCCAGGTGGCCAAGAAGGCTAATAACATCCTGGCTTGTATCAGAAGTAGTGTGGCCAGCAGGACTAGAGAAGTGATTGTCCCCCTGTACTCGGCACTGGTGAGGCCACACTTCGAACACTGTGTTCAGTTTTGGGCCTCTCACTACAAGGAAGACATTGAGGTGCTGGAGCATGTCCAGAGAAGGGCAATGAAGCTGGTGAGGGGTGTAGAGCACATGTCTTATGAGGAGCGGCTGAGGGAACTGGGGTTGTTTAGTCTGGAGAAAAGGAGGCTGAGGGGAGACCTTATTGCTCTCTACAACTACCTGAAAGGATGTTGTAGCGAGGTGGGTGTCAATCTCTTTTCCCTAGTAACAAGTGATAGGACAAGAGGAAATGGCCTCAAGTTGCACCAGGGAGGTTTAGATTGGATATTGGGAAGAATTTCTTCATGGAAAGGGTTATCAAGCATTGGAACAGGCTGCCCAGGGAAGTGGTTGAGTCACCATCCCTGGAGGTATTTAAAAGACATGTAGATGTGGTGCTTAGGGACATGGTTTAGTGGTGGACTTGGCAGTGCTAGGTTAACAGTTGGACTTGATCTTAATGGTCTTTTCCAACCTAAATGATTCTGTGATTCTATGTGGTAGGAGAGACTTAGAATTTCAGATGCTTTTAAATAAGAATCCAAAGCTTAAGAAATATCCTCACGCTTTGCTCTGGAAGTCTCTGTGATCAAAGAAACCAACCAGGGCAATATCTGGAGTCTAAACAAAGAGAGTTTAAAAGTACATTGAGGATGGACAGGGCAATGCTCCACTTGGAAAATGTTGATGCGGTGTGATGAGACCGTTAGGATAGACCTGCCAAGTTGGATGGAGGTACTGCTATATTTGTACAGTGCTCCGCACCAGCTGTTTGTGGCAAGGGTATGTATGTAAGAAAGTTCGGTGGCGAATCTGAGCACATTTTGTAGCACTGTGTCATTGGCAAGAGCATGCAACCCACCATCTGCCATGTAGCTCGTGCCCGTCCAGCTCACAGCAGCTGCCGGATTCCAGGCGCGCAATGCTGCGGCCACCCAGGGGCAATGAACACTATTTGGTGCTTTGTGCTTGGCTGAGGACTATAAAATTATCTAGGCTAAGTTGCTGCTGGTGCAGCTATGGGCTGTGGTCACCTCAGAGCCTGGATTGCTGGGTTTTCCTCGCAACAACTGTTTCCCACCCCCGTCTGACATCAAAACTGCAGCACAGCCCAGATGGTGCACAGAAGGTACCAACCCAAGGAGCTCAAATGTTGCTGACAACCCTGCTGACATGCCTGTACAGCATCCGATTTCCTTACAGAGGCACCCATGACCATTTCAGCTGGACTTTTCAGGGCTGTTTGAACTTTGTGATGATATTCTTACTTGGGAGTTTTCTTTTGAAACTGAGGGCTCTCAGCAAAGCATTTATTGACTTTTGAAGAGATGCATGGAGGGAGGTGCTGCCTATGACAAAGCAAGTGTTGCGTCACTGGTTCATGTAATTGAAATAGTTTCTTGCAAGCTGCTCGTGATTCATAAGAGATAATAAATAACTGAGGAATTACTGTGCCTGATGAAGGAAACAGTTGTTGCAGATGCTCTTTTGTTGTCCTGGTTGTGATTAACTGGTTTCAGAAGGGGAGGTAAAAAATCATTTTTGACACACCAAAGGAAGATACATACAGACCTCACACAGTTTCCCTTCCTCAGTTTTGGTGCATGCTCGACTGTGGGATCAAGGTAATTGCCAAGAGCATTTAACATGTAGACTTTGAGGGCTGGTGATAAAAATCACAAATAAGTATAGCCTACAAACATGGCAAAAATGGGGTTTTATAACAGTTTGCTTTATGAAAGCACAAAATCCAGTTTTGCTGTATTAATCTTCTCCTCTGGCATGATACGACACAGAACGTGGGGTAAGCATCATGCTTACCTTTAAATAAAAAGCAGAGAGTGAGATTTTCCAAAAATCTACACTTAGCCCAAATCTGATCTCATTGAAGTAAACGGGTATTTATCAACAGTGTTGTGCAAGTCCCATGGCTGAGTACATTTAGAAATTGTACACTGCTCCTGGTAACATCTTTCACACAAAATTAATTTTACAGAAAGCAAGTACAATAAATAAAGAGGACGTTTTGCAGATTGAATTTTTATGTCTAATTGGGAAATCGTAGTTCAGTTTTACCAGCTTGCTAAGAAGTGTCCTGCACTGTTATTTACACAAATAATGAGAAGCCTTCATAAACTTCATAAAAATAATTGGAAGTCTCTGACAGCCTGTGATAGATTGCTGAAATATTGGGTAATCTGGTCATTTTGGGAGAAAGTGTAGCCTGACAAGATGAGGGTAGCAAACTTGTACGGTAGTCATGAGAATAATTACACAGCCCTTTGTCTTGATGTTAATCCCTGCATCACCCCTGCAAGGTAGGATCTATATTGTTGCCTTAATCCTGTTGATTTTCTTAGTCATGTGAATGCCACAGGAATGATAAATCTAAAGACCCTTTCCTTATATTCAGCAGATTCGGTACCTCCTAATTGTGTAATTTGGCCTAAAGCAACCCCTAGGCAGTGGGTGTTCATGGGAAGTGTGCAGAGGGGGTTGCGGGGATTAAGAGCAACAAGGGGAAAGTCATCACCTGTTTTTCCCCCCTTCCCCTCTTTCTTTTGTCTCTCCCAGGAGAAAAACCCTACAAATGTACCTGGGAAGGCTGCACCTGGAAGTTTGCTCGCTCCGACGAACTGACGAGGCATTACCGCAAGCACACGGGAGTGAAGCCATTCAAGTGTGCAGACTGTGACCGCAGCTTTTCCCGCTCAGATCACTTGGCGCTCCACCGCCGCAGGCACATGCTGGTTTGAGAAACGCTACCTGTTCCAGCCGAGTTTAAGAGCTGGGTCTCTTAACTACCCGGAGTGAATTCAGCAGGGCTGAATCCCCCTCTACAGTGTTAACAGGCAGGGCTTTCCCTGATGTCTGTAACAAAAAATAATAACAAATTTTAAAAAAAAAAGCAGGAAAAGAAGTGCCACTCTTCTCCTCGCCATCTGAAGTTAACCCCGTCTGCCCCTCAGCATGGCTACCCCCTGAAAGTGTCATCACAATCACCTGGGAAATAGCAGCCGAAATGCTACAGGAATGGGCATTATTTTACATGCTGCATCCTTTGACAAAAAATGTTTATAGCTTGTATGTTTTCTCAGCTGTCGGACATTTTGTTCCTGAAAAATCACTGCTGATTGGAGGATTAGATATCACAAACCGATGATGATGATGATGATGACGATGATGATGATGATGATGATGATGTTGAGAGCAAGACCGCTAGACCTTTATTATCCCATCTTTCCCCCTTGATTTGAATACCATCTGGCCGGTGTCAGCATTACGCCCGAGCTGTGCTACAGACAAGCTGCGTATGAGTAGGCAAGAAGATTCTGCTGGAGAGGTCCCGCTGTCGGAGCTGAAGGGTCGCTTGAGCAGACTTTTGCAATAACAATGGTGGCATTTTAATATTGTACCACAATTTGTCATTATGCCCTAGAGGACACCAGCCATTTAACCTTTTTCTTTTATCTTTTTTTTTTCCTTTCTTTTGTTTTGTTGTTGTTGTTGTTGAGTCTGTAAAATAAACAAGGGGCAGCAGCATCTCTGCTGAAAGTACAATATTAAGTATCTGTATTTTACCATGGACTTATTTAGAACCGTTTTCTGATTTGTATAGAAAGAGCGCATCTAAAAACTAGTACCCCATTCTCAATGTGCAGTTTTCTTTCATGCAGTTATCCTCTTCCCCACAACCATTATTTGAACACAAGGAAATAGTCAGATCTTATACTTGCTGGTACCAAGGTTAGTGGTATAGCCATTCATGAAATGGTATTGAATGTACCAACAAAACAAAACAGAGAAGAAACAGCTGCATCTCTTGCAGAGAAAAAGCAATAATGAGTAAAATGGCTCTCGGGACAATAATTTACTCCACACCAACAGAAGCGGGGTGAGGGGGTGTACTGTAGAAATGGCACGTAAGATCATTTAAGTTAATCTTTCTGATGGTTTCACTGACCTGCTAGGTACCACAAGTAAGTATTTTAATTTCCTTCAACATAATACTTGTGTCTGGAAAGCAAGAAGGATAAAGGAAAGAGCTGATTGTTGAGGAGTCAGTGGATGAACCGTAAGTAGGAAGGAGAGATGTTTCTGCAGTGGTGCTCTGCAAGACATTAGGTTTCTCCCTGGGAGTTAGGGAATAACAAGATCTTGCCAGCTGTCTAGTATGATATAAATGGCCCTTTATATGGGTACCAGTGGCTGCCTCTGCTGGGATTTTCAATCCAAGCCTTTTCAGATTAAATAAAAGGAAATTCTTGATCATTCCCATACAGCCCTATAATTGTGAACCAATTTGTATTAATTGAATTATGTAGGAGAGAGAGAAACTCTTAGTCATCAGTTGTTCATGCAAACGGGATAGTGTTTTTCTATTTCTTTCCTCATAAGGATCTGCCTATTCAGCTAAATTTGACAAAGAGGAGGCTTGGCAAGATTTTTTAAGTGTTGAGATTTTTATAGCTTAGAGATGAAAGATGTATCCATAAAGGTCTTTTGCAATGCATTTAATTATGAATATTTGGTTTCAGGAATTGCAGAGATTAAACTTGAGATGCCACTTGTTCATTTTTAAATGTTAGACCAGTCTGAATTAATTTTTGATTCCTGAAGTAACCATAGTAATGTTAGGGGGATTCTGAAATTGAGGTAATCTTTAAGAAAAACCGGAACAGAGTACCCATACAGATACTGAAAGCAATTACAGTTAATTGAGGATTAATATGACTGGGATAATATGTTATAACAACATTCACAGGCCTCAGAGTTTGACAGTCTTTAAATACGTTCTTAATATTCCCCAGTACCGGATAGTTTATCAGCTCTCTGAAAGAAGAACTTCAATACTGTTACAGCTCAGGCTCCCCTCTGCCGAGTGGTCAGCAGAGAAACCCAAGACAAATTACTCACAGACAATTGTGGGAAAAATGCTTCATATCAGTTCCCATTGACCGCATTGGTAATCAACTTCTACCAAATTCGGCAACATTTTAGTATTCGGCTCCAAATCAGGAATGAAGCAGAGGCGCTAAGTGTCTGTGCAAAGCCTCAGAAGGCTGTGACAGATCAGGGCTTCTGGATAGGCCATGAGGCATGGTGGGGCAACAGAACTGGGTCTTTACCAGCAGCGTTACTGCCATTGGTTTCAAAAACTGGTTGTCAGTGTTGTGCGTGACATGGTTCATGGATTACGTCTGAGGTCTGTCTTTTATGTACTTCAATATTGTCCCCTTAAATGGATCTGTCATTCTCAGCATTTAGGGAAAGAAGTCAGGTCAGGTAGAAGTCAATTGACAAAATTATTTTCCTGCCCAAGAACTTTTTACCAACTAATTACTCAAATAGCAGTAATTCAGTTGAAGAACTGATGGCATACAGAATTCCTTTCAGAATGTCTAATTTTTTTCTCCCATAGAAAATGAAGTTTATTTGACCAGAAACTCTTAAGGCCATTCTGTTAGCATACAAGAGGAACGGTGAGAGAGATCATCTCTAATGTTATTCACAAAGGCAGGGTATAACTGGGAGAGACAAGTGTCCTCTTTAGGCTTCCCCTCTAGTTAATGAAGAGAGAAAAACTCCTCTGAGAGAACTTGAGAGGCCTTAAATTTCAGCATTCAGCTCTGAACTGCCTGAGGAGGAGCATATGTATCACAGACCCTGGGGAAGCTCATCTCTTGAGGCCGAGGTTGGTCTGTGTGAATCCCTTGTCCTTCAGCTTTTCCTACTTTATGCATAGGAAACACTGCAACAGAAGGAGGGTCTGGTTTTATTCAAGGAACCCCAAAGTGATACAGGGTTAAAGCAGCACTCACGCCCAGGGACACAGGCACAGAGCGTGTCAGTGGTAACAGAATGAAGCCAAAAGGTAAAGGAGTATACGCTAAGTTTTCTTATTTCACAGGCAGGAGGTGTATCCTCAACCTTTCCAGCACACGTGGAAGGGCTTTTCGTGCTACTGTTACCTCCAGACAACTTACACAACCAGCAGTAGTCTGCCACTGGTTCTTGGCAAGTTTCTTATTCATATCAGCACCTGCAGGCTTTGACCCCAAATACTCGGTGAGGTTCTTTTCTGGTTTGTTTTCCCCTTCAGAAGTATTTTAAGAGAAGTTACTCTGCGCGAGGGGGGTGTTTGGATGTGGAGTTGATGTCCCCCAGATTCCCAGGGTGTCCTTCCCTCAGTGGCTGCCGTTCACACCCACCAAACTTCTGTGCTTGTGCAAGGACTAAGGGCGATTGCACCATGGTAGTTTCCTCAGAAATCCTGGTATCCCACCACAGGTCCATGACATTTCACAACCGTGGTAAAGGCTTACATCATATGTAGTGTGCAGAAGTACCAGATCTCACCTTGACACAACACAGTAGATCCATCTAAATTGAGCAGTTGGGAGAGACAAATACACAGTGTCCCATTATTTCAGAAAGACAGAGATTTATGCTTTTAAGTGTGAGTAAAGGATAGGTAATCTCCACCATGCCCATTACAGCTTGCAAGGGAAACTATGCCACAAAGTGTCAGATTTCATATATTTTCAAAAGGATTCAATGGATTTGTCAGGAAATCTCAGTAGCCAGCATTATAGGAAAACGTAACAAGCAAGCAGCTTTGATACAGAACTTTTTAAATTTTAAATTGTTATTTTTTCAGCACCTGTTTTATTCAGCACTGTAAAATTGGCTCATTGCAACAGCAGTTTATACTTGGGGATGAAGATGCAGTATTCCTTATTCTCTATCATGCTTACACAATTAATTAAATAGATTTAGACTCACTTGTATATATGATTATTTGCTGGAGTAATGTATAACAAAATTAACAGTGTTGAAAATTACATCAGTGATGTTGATGTTTGGGGTAAACTCACAGTGCAGAGCATGGACAAATAGCTGGACAACCTTTCTCCCCTTTAATAATGGGAATAACAGTGATCATAAGTCTCGTTTTCCATTAGCCACATTGAAAATGTATTCTAGTTGCCATTTATAAATTTATCTTCTGATAATAAATGCTGTTTAATGGAAAAAATCTCTTTCTCCTTTATTGAAGGTGGGTACCTCAAAATCAGAGTAAGTTTTGCTATTAATATCTCGCTTATTTTTTTAGTTTTAACTTTGGTTTGGAAAGGTCAGTGTGTGAAACTGCATCTTCCACAGCAAACAAGTCTTAAGATCTTTCAGTAAATCCGCCCTACTCCCGCAGGCTCATCTCTACACTCATGCCTATAAACCCCAGCACTTCCACGTGCCTCCATCCATGTGCAGGTAATAAACAAGTTTATTAAAAAAAACAAAAAAATCACAAAAGGAAGAATCGGAAATAAATACTGTAAAGGACAATACTACCTTCTTAAGAAACCAGCTCATGTTATTGTATTATGCCTTTGCCTGTGATTTATAACTGGAGAAGTGCACAAAGAAATTCAAAGATTGTTATATTTCACAGTTCCACTAGCGTAACAGTTGCTGTGTAATGTATGCTTATGAAGTCAAGCCCGTTGGTAGCTTGAAAAGGCTTAAATTCTGATCAATTTCTGCAGTAAATCAGGTTTTAGTACAAAAATGTAACTATAAGGATACTGCATCTTTAGAAATCAAAATACCTTGGAAGTCTTTTACTATACTTGTAACAGTTTAAATATTCTGTAATATATGTGATAGTGGAAAAGTATTTTCAAACTCACAATTTTACATGGGGTGTAAATAGGTTAAATGAATACAATTTTTAAAAAACATTAGTTTTCATCAGGAAAACTGGTAAGATAATGCCTTGCAAAGCTTAAACACAAAAAAGAAGTAAATTGTTCTGGTTTGTCAGAGCATGTTTTCTCTGCAAAATGGAGTGGCCACTTCTTTGCTGTTTCGCAGATGGCGTGCGATATAGCAAAGTCATACTGAGTCCTTCAATGTCGAGTAAGTCAACACTCAGAATGTCTTTGACTGAATAAAGGAAAAAAACCACTTAAAATGA